CAGACAATGTCTTTGTCTTGTCTTTTTCCTGTTAGACTTAGTGAATGTTCTCCTTAAAGTAGATTTGTGACTGGGAGTCTCTTTTGTACCCTAGAACAACATACTAGCAGACATCTAAATGCACCCTTAAATACAGACTGCTCCCCCAACATCAACTAAATGTAACAGACCGGAATTAAAGCTCCCGTGGTTAGCAATAATTGTCTTCCCTTGGGCTGGGCCAAAGAAACAAATGTTTACGTGGTTACAAAACGTGCTTTTGGAAACAAAGGTATTTGTAACCTCCACATAAAAGCTATGACGATTGGACAGCGATTTTGAACTTTAAAGTATGTTGCTGCTGTCGACGACCAAAACGAAACTCGCGGCCGCCGAGTCCATTTCGACTCATGGCGGCCCTAGAGGACAGGTTAGAACTGCCCGTGGGTTTCCGAGGCCTGCCACTCTCTACAGGAGGACAAAGCCTTGTCTTTCGCTCCCGAGGTGCCTGGTGGTTTCAAACTGCTGATCTGGAGCACCACAGTCCAACGCATAACCACAATGCCGCCAGGGGCTCTGTCACAATTATAGCAGATCATTCAAAGCCTGAAGACCTGGGACCTCGCGGCAATGCTTTGGCTGACCGCTACGCTCAAGGAGCAGCATTCGCAATCGCCCTTGGAATCACAGCTAACGAGCACGTGGAGAGTTTCACAGGAGCAGCCAGAACAAGGTGGGGGCAGAGTGGACGCCCAAAGCCCATCTGTAGACAACTGGACACCCTCCACAGAAGGGTCACAAGGAAGGGATGAGTCAACCAGGGCACAGCACAGCATCGATGAAACACATCATTCCTCTAGTCCTGCATGCTTCCTCCCCTCCACTGCCATGACCCAGTTCTAGACTGGAGTACACACATTGGTACAGATCCGGCTAGACCGGAGTACACACATTGGTACAGAACCGGCTAGACCGGAGTACACACATTGGTACAGATAAGAGCTCTTGACACATGGAATTCAGGATAGATAAACTCCTCAGGTACAGTAGTGGGAGTAGCGAGATCATGAGGGTAGGGGGATGTTGGGGTGCGGGGAGAGGGATAAAGGGGGAACTCATCACAAGGTTGGATATGTAGCTCTCCCAAGGGGTATGAATAACAGAAATGTAGGTGAAGGGAGACAACGGATGGTGTATGATATAAAATAACAATAATATGTAATTGATCAAAGGTTCATGAGGATGGGAGGGTGAGGGAGGGTGGGGGAAAAAGAGGAGTTGTTACCAAGGGCTCAAGTAGAAAGAAAATGTTTTGGAAATGTTGATGGCAACATATGTAAAAGTGTGCTTCATACAACTGAATGATGGATTATTATATAAGATTTGTAAGAGGGTCCCCAATAAAATGATTAATGTTTTAAACCTGATTGATCTTAAAGTCTGTTTTTTGACAATTAATGGAACGCCGCTTCTCTAGGTGTGGCATTTCCGGCTTAGTAAACCATGTGAATTTTTTATTTAAAATGGCCGATGTCAATCTTTTTCAGCTCACTAATGCCCAGGATATAGATCTTGATGTGTTCCAGTTCATTTCTGATGACTACAGCTTTTCCTAGATTCATACTTTGTGGGAAACACACGCTGAGGAACTAGGAGGAGGGCTCTATTCCCTAACTTATCACAGAAAGCTAGTATTCCATGGTAGGAAGGCCTCCACTTTGGTAAGTTAGAAAAAAAGTCCAAGTGCATGATCCTGCTTTAAATATCGTTCTCACAGATTGTCCCCAAACAGCTATGCTGCCTTAACGTGAGCACATGGTGGATTCTATCTCCCTGTAGAA